GAATAATGGCTTTCTATGAGTGGTGCAAAATAACAAAGCCGTTCACTTCATTCTAGTGTAGCTTGTCACATTTTCCAGACCTTTTAAAGCCAGAAAATAAAGTCTTTATGTGTACTGTGTGACGTTGTAGTACATCCTCACAGAACACACTCATTGATGGTGCTTTGTACAGAAAGATTCAGCTCCTGAAATTCTTAACACTAAATGGCAGATTTTCCACTGCATCTACTTCAAAATTGGGAACGTTCAAAAAGATAGAGGTAGAATGAATTTGTTGGCCATTAGTGAATCATACATAAGTTGGGGGCAAGAGGTGAAGATGTTTTTATTAGTGGAGTTACATGGGAGATCTCTTCATTCAGGAAACATTTGTAGAGCCCTGAGCGACTATGCTATATATTTCTCTAAGGGAGATAAAAGGAATGAAGTTTCCTGCCTCAATAATGATTCAGTCTAGCAGGGAAGGCGAGAGATGCAAATAACCATGCAAAAAGAAGTTTTACTATACAAAAAGGAAAAATGCTAAAATGGCTGTTTGTCAAAGACTGCATGACAGAACTTGAAAGTAGAAGACTGGAATAGCAAAGAATGTCCTGGCAGCATAGAAATAGCCTAATTTTAGAATTTCCACTACTACTACCCCTCCCTTACCCTAATATCACAATACTTTCAAACATATTGTCACTATTATCAAACTCAGTTCATCTCCTCTTTGGGTGTCTTATGCACTTCACCCATCCAGTATACTCTTTCCCAACTTATGAAGCATTTTTTCTTCTACTTCTATCTTTTTCATTATTTTCTTGAATATTTGCTATGAATTTATCATCTCCAAGAAGTCTTCCCTAATTATGTACACTATATGTATATTCTCCTTCCATCAATATTTAGGTGCAAATTTCATATTAAATTGCTTTGACCTGTTTAAGATCACTTCCCTCTCTTATAGGAAATTACAACCAAGATGGAAAATATTGCATTGGAGTTGTTATTCATTAGTATTTAATACATATGAAATATTCAAAATACTTGCTAGATCAGTACATAGTTGAATAGGGGAGGGATAGACATGTCTATTTAAAGGAAGCTTTATATAACGGAAGACTGAAGTCAAGAGTTAGAAGCTTTAGATTTGAGCTTCAGATCTATCATTGAAAAACTGCTGTCCTGGGTAAAATCTTATCTGAAGGTGCAGAGACAGGAGTGGATGATGAGTAGTAATTTGCTGGAAATGGTGAGTTTAGCTTGCTACCAAGTGGTTCTATGTAATAAGTGAGGACTTATAATACATTGCACCCTGGCTTAACAAAGAATAACAAGGCACAAGAATATTTCCAATTGCCATAAAACAGAGGGAATGACATAAAGAAAATAAGTTTTAAGAAGAGGTTGAAAGATGGTCAGCAAGGCAAAGGGGAATGAAAATTGAAAGACTGTTGGATTTGTCTTTAAGAAGGACATGTGACTTTTGAATGAGTGATTTCCACGGATAAGATTGTAATTTGTTGAAGGGTGATTCAAAGGGAAATAGAGACAATAAAAGTAGCTTATGCTGTGAAGAATTTTGGAGCAATGAAGACAGAAAAGGATACATAGTCCCAAAGTGAGGGTCTAAATGCATGTAGAAATTTTTTACTCTGTTTTATTCTATTTTTCAGTTTTCATTTTGTTTTGTTTTTGGATGGGACATACAATATAATATTGCAAAGAACTGAACTATTTTTAAGAGCCATATAGTCATTCTTTATTTTGTTTGTCCTATATTTTAAAACAGCACAAGTATGATTTTGATATATATCATATGCAATGTTTTTATTCATGCCATACCCAAGAAATAAAAGTTTACACTGTCATTTTTGTTTTTAAGTTTTTACAACTTGTTTATAAATAACTGCATTTTTGGGGTGACATTGGACTTTATTTAGAAAAAGTTTATCATGTTATGGAAATAGTTTGATTATGTTAGACTGCTTTTGTTTCCTGTACATATTAACATGTAGCTTAAATGTCACTGGAAAGAAATCAAAAGTTTCAAATGCTTGCTCAGAACAATCAAAAGAAGACTGTAATATTATCACACAAATTTTCCTTCTTTGTGTCCAAAGGAGAAATAAATTGTTCACTGGCTTGCTACTTGATTGATTATAGCAGGGGCCAACAGACTGTGACCTGTAGGCCAACTGGGTCTGCCACCTCTTTTTGTAAATAAAGTTTTATTAGGACACAGCCACACCAATTCATTTGTGTATCATCTATAGATGCTTTCACATACACACAACTGCACCACTGAATAATTGTGACAGAGATCAGGTAGCTCATAAAACCTACAGTTTTTTATTACTCTTTGTAGAAAAACTTTGCCAACCCCTGAATATATATGTATATCTTTATATATCTATAGTGAAAATTGGTCTTAATCTCTAAAATAGATTTAAAATATGTGCTTTCCCAGATATTTGTTTACATTGACACTATTAACTCAACAAATGTGTACTGAATATCTTTATGAAGCTGACTTATTCTGAGGTACTGGAAGTACAACAATCAACAAAACAAAATTCCCAGTCCTCATATAGCTTACAATCTAATTGTAACCAACTACAGATTCCACAGTCAACAAATCAACAAAATAATCAACAAATCAACAAAATAAATGAGAAAATACATTAAAAAATCGTGTGCCAGATGATCAGATGTACTATGGATAAAACAAAGAAGGAAAGGGTATAACAAGTATCAGAAATTGGAGGGAATAAGCAGCATACATTTATAATATATCATTTATTGTGTCCTACGCTTGTTCTTTAATGAAATGAAATTTTCAGCCAGGAGATCTAGTAAAACAAGAACCATACCCTAACTCAAATGCCTGTATCCTAAATTTATAGCATTCAGTCCAAACACTCATTTAAATACCCCACTAGTCTTCACTTTTAATTTGTAAATGTTTCTAAGCCCATAATTCACTAAATGGAGCAAAACCAAAAAAAGAACCATATTATGCAAAGTTAGTCCCCACAAGAAAGTCCGTCACATTAAGTTGGTCCCTATAATTCTGCACAAATTCAGTGTTTAAATCCAATACATAATCCCTCTATAATATTATATGAGAAAGGTAAAGTTAGTATAAAAATGTCTGCGCCAGTCTAGCAAATAATAGCAGCTCAATAGTGTCTCAACACATTTAGAAGGTAAGAGAAAAAAAAAACTCTAATAATAATGCAAATCTTTTCCCCAAAATATATGGAATGTAGTGTTAACTTAATCATTGTTAGTTCATGAAATATTATAAACAATATGAAAAAGCCAGCTATAAGTAAGTATAATCTAATAACAATTTTATTTTATTTTTATTATACTGATAGAACAAATGATAATTTATATTTTTTGCTACAACTTTGTTGAATGAACTACATGGATCATGTACAATTGACTTAATCTCCCTTTATGTCAAATCAATAATATAAAAATCAAATGGGAATAGTCGTTTTTATGGGTACAACTTGACTTTTCAAAACTCTCTGTAGCTTGTCACTACAGCAACCCTGTTAAGGGTTTTGATTAACCATTGTGTTACTTGAAATAGATATTAGTTTCTTGATGCTTCTATTTTAAGAGGAATTTACTATTGAAATGCTCAAGACAGCTTTAGAGTTAAATATTAGGATGTAAAGAAAAAATATTTTTAAAACCTGTGTTCTTAATTTCTCTGAGATATATATGTCTTTCCTTTTCATTTCTGCATTAATCTTTCAAAGGAGGAAAAGTAATTACTCTCCTATAAGATATTAATTAAATGGCAACTGTTAAAATTCCTTACAACACTAACATTTTCTGAACTCATGTTCTCCCAACCAATAAATAAGACCTGACCTAAAAGAGTTCCAAAATGAAAATGAAACTTTAATTAAAATACCAATGAATATATTTGATGTTATTTCAGTTTTAAAAATATAACTGTAAGTTTCTCATATTCTTAACTATGTCTTTTTCTCCAAAGATGTGGTCAGAAGAATGGTTCTATTGGAGGTGGGTAGTGGAGGTGATGGTGGGGGCAGGTATTTGAAAACAGCCACTGTATTAGGTTATATACCTTCTTCAATATTAATAAATGTGACTCTCAACCATTTGCTTATTATTTCCTGAGTTGTATATTTAAAAACTTTTTATATGATGTTAACTGTTTCCAGATCCTTAAGGGTACCATTCATTAGTAAGTGAAAACAAGTCAGATCTATAAAGTTGCAAAAATGAGAATCAATCCCTGTGGTTGGTATAATTTACATTGCTTGGGTGAATAGTGTACTTACCATGATTCAATAATGTAGGATTTTTTCCCCAAATATCTAAGTATCAAAACAATAAAAAAAAATGACTAAGCCCCTGGACCTAATAGTATAACATGAAGATATTCAACAAAAAGAGGAATAAGATGCTGCTTCAAGATGAATTACTAGAAATGCCCCAATTTCAAGATTGCCATTTTCATTATCAGTGAGATATCTGTTTACAGTAACCCTAAAGCTATGTATTGAAATACAAGTGTATAAGCAGGAGGGCAAATAACAGGAAAGAAAATTGCTGGGCATAAGTAAAAAATTCATTTTCATTAAGAAAGTTTTATGTGTTATTGATAATGATCATATTTGTTTCCCACAGCATGATCCACATATAAAAGTAACTTAAAAGATAATGGATTGTAAGGAAAAATAAGAAATTTGTATCTAATTATGCTGCTGATAGCCTTCCTTGGAAAGTGGTACTTGTATTTATGCTTAAGATTCAAACAAGCTCCAACATAAATTGTCATAACGTACATATGCTCAGCAAATAATGTTTTGAAAAGCTGAATTTCTCAAATTATTGCTCCATATTTCTGTATGAGTCAGGGGGTAGACTAGGAAATAGAAACCACTACTGGAATTCAAGCATAGAAGACTTACTGATTAAGGGCTTCCAAAATCAGAGGGGTGGGAGATAAGTTGGAATCAGGGAAGTACCTTCTGGACTGCTAGTTTCAGGATCATACTATCACAGCTGCGATGCATAGGTCAGGAAGCTTCTCATGCTGCTGGCTTTGCTGTTGCTTCCACAGGCCCTGGTACCCCGGTGGCTGGTGTCTTGCACTGGCATGCACTGTGCGGGCGTGCCAACTCTCTCCTCTGCCTGGCATTGCTTAGCTGCAGTCGCCAACAGGAAGATGTCCACTGCCTTGCTTCTGACTCAAAAGCTTGCACAGAGCTACTAGCTAGAAGGAAATATGAGCCAGGTAAAAGCAGAGTAGAATTGACATTGAGAGAGCGAGACCAAGCAGTGGTCCTCAAACTCTTATCCACTATTCCAAAATTCAAAAAACTCTGAATATAAGTGGTTAAAAAATATATATAGCTTACTTTGTAAATCTGACAACATATGAAGTAATTTGGCATCAAAACCTGGCCTGAACTGATTATAAAGCTACATTTTATCTCTCTTTATCCTACTAAATTTGAATATTTATATAATTCTCTGAATAAGTATCATTTTATTTCAATACAAAATGACTTGACTCTCTGAGAGTGTTATGAACCATACAGTAGAAGTTACACCAAGTATCAGAATGCCAAATAGCAGCTTGTCAAGTCAGACTCACATGAACTAGACATCTCACCCGGTATCATCTTACCTCATATCAATCTTGACATCTTATTAAAGTTCAAGAACATAAGTAATGCAAGGCATGAGAGAATCAGAGAGTGGCACAAGACAAACAACACAGCTATCTACTTCTTTTCTTGCCACATTAGGATATATTCTGGACCCAGATTGTCATATCCTATAAACACGTGAGCAGTCACACATTTAAATTATCAAACATCTCTAATTTAAAATAAGTTAAATTACTAATTACTAATGTACTATTTTCTAGAGAGCCTCACCCAACAAATCCATATATTCCAGGTATATTTACCATAATCAATCCTGGCCCACCAGGTCCATTGTGCTAAAAGCATAGATAAGAATTCTAACACTAACAAATGTCATTAGTTTGTTATCAGAGAGGTTGATAATTAGTATGTTTACATGAAGATTTGACAATTTTCTGTTCTAGTGATTTTCCCAAATCCCTACCACCTCATGAATAGAAAGAATTGTAGACCAGTTGCATATTCATTTTATCCCAGGATGTACACATTGTAGCACCTTTTTATAATCTGAAATATTCTGAATTCTGAAACACTTCAGGCCCCAAGGGTATAGATTAAGCAATTTTAGACCTACCTTTACCATGGTACATTGCTTTACTTTTCAATGACCATATGCCTTCTTCTATGCATATTTCATCTTCCAAATAGGAATAGCTTTCTTCCATCTAACCTAAGACAACTATCCTTTGTATTAACAAAGATCTGTTTGTAATCTCCAAAGACGAGACTTAAAGTTGTATCACTCATTGTATGCATCTCTGTGTCTATCTTCTAGGAAATCAAGTGTTGCCACCAGATTTTAGACTTGGACTTTGCCTCTTAACTTATTAAAAACTTTGTACCCTTGTTGTTGTTGTTTCTTCTTTTTCTTTTCTTTTTTTTTTTTTTTTTTTGAGTATTTTTTCATATACCTGTTGGCCATTTGTATGTATTTTTTTTTTTTTTTTTTGAGTCAGAGTTTTGCTCTGTCACCTCAGCTACAGTGCATAGAGTACAGTGATGTCATCATAGATCACTGCAACCTCAAACTGCTGGGCTCAAGCGATCTTTCTGCCTCAGCCTTGTGAGTAGCTGGAGCTACAGGTCCACACCAGGTACCTAGCTAATTTTTCTTTATTTTGTAGAGACTGCAGTCTCGCTCTTGCTGAAGCTGGTCTTGAACTCCTGAGCTCAAGCAATCCTCCTGCCCGGGCATCCCAGAGTGCTAGGATTACAGACACAAGCCACTGTATCCAGTCCACCCTACCTGTGTATTGGGCTATGGTAGTGGCTCCCAGCCTGAGTACTTGGGCCCTTGTGAAAGTAGCACTGGGAGACCATGAGCTACTTCAACATATTATAAAAGTGTAGTGTAGTATTTCCTAAATCGTGGCTAATAGATTGATGACCTAAGATTTGTTAAAAATTCAACTTTTTTGGCCATATGCCAGTCTTACTAAGTCAGAATATGTTAGCAGGTACTAGAAATTTGCATTTTTATTAAACTCCATGGGTGATACTCATACACAACACAATTTAAGGACTATTAGTCTAATGGAACCACATATGTATAAAAATAAGGATGCACACATACCAATATAGTAATTCTATTTGTTTTAATTTGGAATTATAATTAATTCTGTGTGCTAACCCCATGTCAAAAGACAAAATTACAACCAACTTAGTTATAGAACTAATTGGCTTTTATTTGAAATTCATGAATTGGGACAGCCTCCATTCTACAAAATAGAATGAGAGCCCCCACTGGGTAATAGCAGAACAATGGGTTTGTAAGGTGGGGTGAAAGAAACAGAACAATGGAAAAAATAGCAGATTGGTTAATATCAAGGTATTTCAGGTTACTTTTTGTAAGGGTTAAAGCGGAAGGACTTCCTTATTGTACTGGCTCAGGTAGACTGGAATCTTCTATTTTCAGGAAAAAATCGCTCTGTTTGGGATCTATCTGCTTTCTTAAGGTTTCAATTTGATTATATGACATTTTGCATGAGTGACTGCATTTTGTTTTGGTGTGGTCTGAGCTCCTAGTGCATGAGCTCAGTCCAAACAAGGCCTCTCATAATTTTGTTTAACACCCATTTCATTTCCCTTTTAATTTGGATTTTATTGAACACATATGAAGTATACAGTCAGATTTTCTAGATGCAAAGGATGTAGAGATGAATAAAACACAGTTCCTTTGCTCAAAAAGCTTATATAATTGTGTGAACAAACAGACAAGTAAACCAAAAACTATAAAATGTCTTTAGACCTTTAGCAAACGTATGCCCCAGGTCATATGAAAGTATAGAGGATAGAACAAAACCAGCTGTAATTGAGGAATAATAAAAATATAAGAAAATATAATTCAAAGTCATAGCAATTTTAGAAAACCAAGCAACCTTTAACTAACAGGAACATTTAATTAAAAGAAGTGAAAAAAATTCTTATAGTTAAAACATTGTTTGATATTCAATTGACTACGTGATGATTATTAGTTTTTGTCAAGATCTAATAGTCAGTAATTCTACGATTTCACATTTGTCCTTATAGAAGTGCGTAATTATTCTCTTCCATGGATTTGATGTTTAGTAAATTGGGTAATTGGTTGTTTTTTGATATGGTTGAGTAATCCTGGGTGGGTCACTCAACTAATTCTATCTTTCCTAAGTTTATCTGGGATCAAGAAAGGAGCTCTATCTCACCTACTGTAGGTAAAACTTAGAGATAAGTTTTTATGTAGTGTTAGCCTCTTCTAATTGCAGACATTTCTTATAATTGAGCAGTTTTTGAGCTACTTTAAACAGAAACATAGAGACACCCAGTAGAATTCAGTGATATTTTTACCTTTGCTGTTGAGTTGATTATTCTTTATTACTCTGTAGATGGCTTTTTGAAATATTTACTTGTATTTATATTGAGTAGACACAAAGTAATAATTTATTTGTTTTTGTTTTCTTCTCTTTTTTACTTTTATGATATGCAAAATTACAGTTTCCAGGGAACTTTGAAAAGAAAACTAGTCACCACCTAATTTGTGGATTACAAAATCATTTACAAATGTTTATTGTGTGTTATACTGCAACACTATTTACAATAGCTAAGATATGGAATCAAACCAAGTGTTCAATAATGAATGAATGGATAAATAAGTTGTGGTGTAGATACACAAAAAAAAATATTCTTCAGCCATAGCATGAATAAAATCCTGCCACTTGGAACAACATGGATGAACCTAAGGACCTCATGTTAAGTGAAGTAAGTCAGACACAGAAAGACAAACACCACATGGTATCATTCATATGTGGAATATTAAAAAAAAAGAGTTGATATTATAGAAGCAGAAAGTAGAACAGTGTTTACCAGAAACAGGGAGGAGAGGAGGGAATGAGAGGATGGAGAGAGATTGGTCAACAGATACAAAGTTATAATAAGGAGGAATAAGTTCTTGTGTTCTATTGCACATTAGGGTGGCAATGGTTAACAGCAAGGTATTGCATATTACAAAATAGCCAGAAAAGAGGATTTTGAATGTTCTTATGACAAAGAAATGATAAAGGCATGAGAATGTGAACCTGCTACACACCCTGATTTGATCATTATGCAACTTATACCTGTACCAAAATATCAAATTATACCCTGTAAATATGTACAGTTAACAATGTGTTGATTGAAAATTTAAAAACCCTGATTTAGGAAATACATATTATTAGCATATATTAATTTAGGATATATAATATCTATGCTAATTTTTGAAATATATAATATCAATATGCATATGAATGTATACATTAGGATATACATAATTTCTGTTATAAATCAAGCATTGTGTTAGACATTGAGACAGAGCAAAACAAAATCATATCCTGGGCCAGGTGCAGTGGCTCACGCTTGTAATCCTAGAACTCCGGGAGGCCGAGGCGGGCGGATTGCTTGAGGTCAAGAGTTCGAAACTAGCCTGAGCAAGAGCAAGACCCATCTCTACTATAAATAGAAAGAAATTAATTGGCCAACTAATATATATAGAAAAAATTAGCCACGCATGGTGGCACATGCCTGTAATCCCAGCCACTTGGGAGGCTGAGGCAGAAGGATCGCTTGAGCCCAGGAGTTTTAGGTTGCTGTGAGCTAGGCTGACGCCATGGCACTCACTCTAGCCTGGGCAACAAAGCGAGACTCTGTCTCAAAAAAGAAAAAAAAAAAAGAACACCCCCCCCAAAAAAAATCATATCCTGCGTAGTTCACAGTCTTATTGGAGGAAAAAAGCAATTATAATATGGTTTAATTAATGCCAATATGGGGAGATTATGTTTTAATAAAAACATAAAAGAGATATTTAACATACAAAGAAATCCAGAGACCTCAAGCATTACCAACTTGATTTTATTTTGGGGTAGAGGAGCCATTTATCTTTCCACCCCCTCTCTTGGGATGTCTTACTTGCAGGTCTGGAGTGTGGAGTGGTTGCCTAAACTTCCCATTTTGACCCTCTACATACCATGAGCCCTTAGGTGCAGCTGGTGTTTTCCATTGAACTGGGCTAAATAGACTCAGCATCATAAACAGAGGAAATGACTAACCATCTACTGTTTCCTCTGACTGCTGACAGCCCCTGCTGGTCTCTGGCATTCCTGCTAGTTTTGAAGTGATAATACAAGGGTTGTCTCCTGACAGATTCCTGAAAGTCTATAATTTTGGAGCTAGAAAGGGCATTAAAGATCATCAACCACTCCTCCCTCATTACAGATAAGAAAACTGAGGTGTTTAAAGGCTCAGTGACCTTGAACAACTCCAAGGGTGGGTTAGTTTCAACACCTGAACCAACACTCAAGTGCCTAGACTCCTAGCCTATGCCTTTGTCTGATGACGACATCATTCTTCAGTTCATTTCAAGATAGTCTGGATTGTCTAGACCAATTTTCAGTTAATGATTCCTTCTCCGTTAGCCTAGAATTCATAGAGTCGGATCAAACCATTTCTTGTCATTAGTATTTAAAATAATTGAAGGAAAGACAGACTCAGGTAATTAAAGGAGATAGCCAGAGGCCTGAGATACCTCGTTCTCCTCCAAACAGCTGGGACACGTTACCTCTGAAACACCTTGCTGAGTTGCAACATGGAGGATTTATATATTTTTTAAAGAGGAAATGATATAGTTTTTGGTTTGTGAAAATTATGACCTGTAGTCCCATAGCACAGATATATTCTGGAGAACCTACTTGAAGTATTTACCTGAGGCCTAGACCTCGTCCATTGCTTAGAGCAGCTGATTACTTTCATCTTGAAGGCATTTCAGAAATTTGAGGGAAAATTATTTGTTGATAGAATGATTGGGGGTCTGTAGTTGGAAGGGACATGGGTTTCTCTAAGATCTGTCATGTGGAAGATGGTTTTTCATGATGAAAACCCATCAGTGTTTTCCACAGTCCTTCATTATGGAGTTGGAAACTCAAGTGGGTAAAAAATTTGTTTATAATCTTTTACTCTAAGACATAACTCCATTTTATACACAGATACTGAGTGTATTTTTTCACAGTACTGAGATAGACTGAATTTTTTAGAAATATTAATAAAACTACCATGCAAATCGAGGGGAAGGTTCTGCCTTGTTTTCTTCAGAAGTTGTTGAAGTGCTTACCATCATTTTAGAAAACTGGGTTATTTATGGCAGTGTTGTTTATATTATAT